AAACCTGGCACTCTTCAAATCCAGCTGTACCTTCCACACTGGACAACCGGTGTGCAATGGTTTTGTGTCCTTTCTTACCCAGAGAACTTGCCTTCCAAGTACTTCCTGAAGGCAGATGTGGCATGTCTGCTGTACTGGAGCCTACAGCAGACTCTTCTCTGCTACTTGGGCGTGGAGCCAAAGAAAACATAAACTGCATTTATATTAAGATGCCTGAGTTAAATTTGGCTTTCGGATTAAACTCTTCTAGGATTAAATAGAAATTTACTTTGCGTAATTAAAAAGAAAACTAGAAATATAAGCTACTTTAAGAAGTTTGGGGAAAAACATATTTGCAAATCCAGCTGCTCTATCAGGTCTGAAGGGAAGGGGCAGCAGCAGGAACAGGCTTGTGAGAGTTTCTCTGTTACAGTGTCATAGCATGGGTATGCTCTCACAGAAAAGTGACGTCATGGCAGTTGTTTAGCCGTTTGCCGTCTGCTTTGCCATTCCTAGCGTCACTGTCTCATGTGCAAAAAGAGATTTGGTTTCTATAAAATTTCATGTGTGTGTTCAACTTGCATGTTTTGCTTGTGTTTGTCAGCACCTTCCAAGTGTGAGTGAAAACATGTCAGCTGCAGACTTCCCGGTGTTTTTAGCGCTAGTGAAGCCTTTTTTCCTGTGTGTATCACCCGTATGCTGTAATGCTCCTGGTCAGTGCCTCTTCCTGCTGCTGCCCCCCTGCAGTACATCCACAAGGTGCTCTGAGCTCCTGCAGCATCCCAGGTCCTGCCATATCCCTAGCATGGCCTGGGCACACGGCCACGTGGATGGAGCAGGATGTCCACTCCCTGGTTTGCTGGCTTTGCCTTTCATTGCACAGAAGGTGTGGACACTGCTCTGCTTTTCCTTGGGGGACAGACATGAATCTATGTTGCTTTTTTCTTATCAGTTGCTGTTGCGCACAGAACTGGTGGGGCTCTCCTGTACTCTACCTCATCCCCCTCTGACAAATCGGGCAGGAATTTCAGAGTTAGCAAGAGGAGCAATGACGAGCTGTGCCAATGTTTTGATGCAATAGGATGTGAACTGAAGGCTAAAATGACTGAGAAATGTAGTGACTAAGAAAAACGACCACATCTGACGTGGATTCTAGTCTTCCTCCTGGAGGCAAACAACTTTGCACATCCTACAGTAAAATCATGAAGGCCATTGGTGTTTGGGGGTATGCTGGGGCAATCCCATCCTTGGGGAGGCTAGAAAAAAAGATGTGAGCAGAAGTGAATTTTATTTAAAGCTTGAGTCAGCATTGTCCAGCTGCAATACTTACAGTTGTATCAGCCCTACGGACGAACAGGAATGACCACTTCACTGCTGCTCTGAAAGAATGCAGATGCACTTGTAGTGCGTGTGAGATACGGTTTGCAGTTTAGAGTCGGCGTGAGTTCTGGCTACTGGTAGCACTTGTTTCTGGGTAGGGGAGGGCCTGGGTCACTTAGAGTGGCTTATAACAGTCTTAAAGCATAAACAGTTCTTTAAGCTTTTATTCCAGTGAATTTTTACAGAATTGAATCTTTAGTAAACAAGGGGACTAGATACTTGTTTGCCTCTGCAGTTAGCTCATTGGAGGACAAAGCCATGTATTTGATTTGGAAGCAGAGCTAAGTCCAGGATGCATCACACCATAAGCTGCTTTCATCTGCTCCGAGTACAGTATCTTACACTTTGAATGGAAAACTAAGTGTTCAGTGTGTTAAATTTTCACCTGTTAATTGTATGATGCTTTACAAAAAGGAAACATAGTAAATGCCAAAATCTTTCTTGTGTTTTATCTCCTCAGGACGAGTTTTTAGATGTGATCTACTGGTTCCGGCAGATCATTGCAGTTATTTTGGGAATCATCTGGGGAGTAGTTCCACTGAAGGGATTTGTGGGAATAGCAGTGTAAGGCTTATTTCCTTTTCTGTCTCATGCACTTTCCCACATTTGGACTTTACTTGGTGCCTGGTTTAAAGTTGTGCTATAAACAATGGGCTGGCCAAATGCAGTCTCTGCTGTGCATCTTAAAGCCTGTGTTGCATTCTGGACTGTTAATTTGTCATGAAATTCATACAAATCATAACATGTCTTCATCAGCCTCATTCTCTCCTCAGCCTGATTAATGCTTTTTAAAATTATTATTTATTTTATTATCATTAAAGGGGGCAAGGGTAGAAGGAGGGAACGAGAGGTTCAATTGACTTATGAAGTGTCCTGTTCCTGCATGTGTGAATAAGAGCTGTGAGTATGGTGCCTGGTGTGGCCACCTAAGAGATAAGGCCCATAGAGAAGAAGGGGTGACAGTCCTTCTTTTTGAGTCAGGAGCCCTCTTCAGAGAGGAGGGTCTGTTAATAGACAAGAGAGGCAGCTTCCCTTTGAAAAATAAAAGGTTTCTTCAGAACACCAAAGACCACAGGTGACAAGCAGGCAAAGTGGCACCATTGGCAGTGCTCCTGCAGCAGTCCCAGCTTGCTGAAGCAGTTCTTTCAGCCATGGTGCTGGGGGAAGGCAGCACCTAGAAGGGTATGTATGCACTGGATCCCCACTGAGATATGGGATTCCGGTCACCTTCCAGCAAGGGTCCAGAGGCTGCAGTGAGCACTCTGAGTTATGAAATGAAAATTTGTTTGGCCCTGGCATGTGCCTGAAAGTCTCTGGAAGGACACCAGAGATGGGAAACACAGCCCTGGTCTCTGAACACTGGGTGTGGGAAGATGCTGTGTCTGTTCTGGGGAGGCTCTGCAAATGTCTCTGCCTAGTCAAGGTCTCCTAGTCAAACTCACAACCTCACAGCTTTTATTAGGCGAAATTGACTTGTCATCTTGTTCCTCCTCCTGAGTGTCCTGGCTGTGGCAAGAAAGTGGAGCGAGTAGCAGCCAGTGTCTCTTAAAAAAAAAAAAAAGTGAAATTTAGGGAAAAGGGGCTGTAAAGCAGTGATGCTCCAAGAGGAACTCAATAGCTACATGCAAACAGGTAAATCTAAATTGCTCCCAGTAACAGATGTGGAGTAGCTGAGAAGCATTGTTCTTAGTCATCCATTAATTCACAAGGCACCTTCAGGCACCTAAGCCAATTCCTGTGCTAAATGTTAATAAGAAAAAAAAGTGATATGGTGTACTAAAGTGATGTGGTGTACTAGTGGAAAAACTAAAAGCTGCTAGAACTGTGTGCGTGTTTTCTCTGTGGTATGCAGTCGCACAGCTGCTCACAGCTTGCTGCCAGTTACTAAATTTGTGAGTATGTCTTCCCATATTGCCCTTCCTACACAGCTTTCTTTCCAGGAAATGTGCCTGTGACTTCCCACGTTGCCCCAGCCCTAAGTTGGGGTGGTGTAAAGCCAAACGTGTCTAAGGACAAACAGGAGGTCACGTTTTTTCTCTCCGTTGCAACGTAACCGTTGGCACAGACTGAGAGTTGTCTCAAGTGGAACCCCAGTGCTATGGCTCTGAGAGTGCTGTTGAGTCTTCTCTGGCTCTCACATCTACATCACTACGTTTGGTCATGCGACGGTAACAGGGATCTAACACTGAGCACAGAGGCTAACAGGCTTCCCTCTTAGCAGCCTCAAAATCAAGTAGCACACACAAGGAATTTGGATTCTGTGTGGGAGCAGAACTGCTGCTGATCTGCAGGGTAGGAAAACTTGCAGGGTTTGCAGATCTGCTGATACTTCCAGCTTTTGACTACTGTCTGTTGAGCCTTACTAGGAGTAGGTTGTGCCTTGTGAGGTGAACTTTATCCGAACCTAGCATGCTATGGCAAGCTGACCTGGAGGTGCTTTTTTAAGGAAGTGACTGCACTGCCTGGGAAACGTTGCAGGAACAGTGTTCCTCTGCTGTGGATGAAAGACGTCTCATTGCTATGTTGCAGTATGGCATGTTGGATACCTGCACCCTGTATCACTGAAATGATAGTTCCTAATCTCTTTCTTCCAGATTCTGCTTGATTAATGCTGGTGTTCTGTACCTCTACTTCAGTAGCTTCCAGCAGATAGATGAGGAGGAGTATGGCGGGACATGGGAGCTAACAAAGGAAGGATTCATGACATCTTTTGCACTGTTTCTGGTAAGGCCTGTTGCTTTCTTTAAGTTAATTAGTGAATTGTGTTGGTACACTTTCTGAGAGAAAAGACCTGGACAAAAAGCAGGTGAGGTGGTGCGCGGATAGAAGAGAGATGTGTTAACGTCATCTAATAAGTGGAGTTGATTGGGAAAAAAAATCCTCAAATCTGATGGCTACTGGTTACAAAATACAGTATTAATGCCTGCAATTCCTCTGTAGGAAAGGATGTAGGAACAGGCAGCTGTACTTTTGCATCTACCACTTAACTTTTATGTCTTCCCATCATCTGTCCCATATATCCTGGTGAAGTTTCATCTAGAGCTACTTGCACCCAAACTGCTGTTTTGGGTGTCTTTGTTTTGCCTTTACTCCCCTCCCCCAAGTCTTGGAATACACTCAGCACTTGATTTGGTGGTGTTCCCAAATCACTAGGGGCACTGTGGTGGGATTTTAATGTGGAGAGACTAGTCACTCCAGAAGGCAAGCAAGTTGAATGCTACTGTTTGTGGTGCATGGTGATCCTAACATCACTCTGAGACAATCTCAAAGTTGAATTCAGTCCCCATCCTCTATTGAGAGCAAGGCGTGAGGCTTGTTTTCTGTCAGAACCCTCTCCAGAGGCATCAAAATAACCTTCACCTCCTTTCCTCTCCACAGGTTGTTTGGATAATCTTCTATACTGCCATCCACTATGATTGACACTGTCTGCAGCTTTTTGCCTGTTAAATCAGTCGTCAGTAAATCGAGAAGGTTTTAATAAGTCGTAGTCTCTAGTGGACTGGTGGGAAGGTGGGGGAAGTCAAATCAACTCCCTTCTGTACCAGCGGTCTGATGAGCCTGGAAGAGCCCCAACTCTTCTGCTGGAGAAGTCCACCTCCATTTTATATACCCATTAATTGTTGGAACTATTAAAAAGCCATTGGAATATTTGGAAGTGGTTCAAGACTGTTCACATTTGGAACTTTCTGTGACTCTAGGCAGTAACTCTATCAAACTCCTGTGTGCTGAAGGTTGAATCTGTTAATTTAATGTATGTATGCCCTTCTGTTTGAAATCTGTCATTAAATCCTGACTTGTCTTCCATTGTTGTCCTTTAGACAAACAGTTTTTAAAAAGCAGTTGTAGGGTACGTGGGAGGAAGGCATTGCAGCATCCAGGATGAGTTGAGTGGCTGTCCTTAGCATGTTTTTGTAGTAATCAGATCTGATTTGATTAAACAGACTGTGTTGTTACCATTTCTAATACTTTTTGGTTTACTTGCAAATCGGTTGTTGACCAGAATTTTTAAATGGTCTTTGCTGAAGACAAATTTTTAAGCAATTTTGCTGGAAAGAATTGTGATTCATTTAGTTAACGAAGGTGTATTCAGGAGGCTTAGAAACTCCACTGCATTCCGCTAGCCTGACTACTAAGTTGCCATTGCATACCTCAGAGCTTAGTATCTTGAAGAACAGTCATTCTGGAGATACCCTTTTAAATGTTAAGCATTTAAGTTCTCTTTTTTTTTTTTTTAAGCTCTTGAATTCAACTGCTCCTTGTTAATAAATGCAGGAGACTAAGACACAATCGAGGCAGCTATTATCTTAAATGCAGAATTACTAGCTTGCAAATCAGGCAGAGTATATAGCCTCTGGTTTGTGAGGTGCTTTTTATGAGTTGATCACTTTGTAGCTCAGTTCCTCCCTAGTCATGCCCTTTTTGGGCATCAATGGGAGAGTTTCTGCTTTAAGATATTTTTAAGGACGTGTCTTTCAGAAATAGTTCTTGGGAAACAGGCACAGTCCTTGTTGTCGTCAGAGGACCTTGTAGTCTTGTTGCCATGTGGTCCTTGCTTTTCTAAACAACAGCTCAGGCACCCAAAAAGAGTCCTGACCTAAAGCTGCCTTATAGTGAGGAGTTGATAGTTTTAGTGTGCTCTTGCTGAAAGTCTGCATTGCTTCCTTGCTGATGGAAGTCCCACAGTCTGATTCTCAGATGTGAGTATACAAAGCCAGGGATCTAAATCTCCAGGTGCTGAGCTAGAGCTCCAGAATTGCCCACCAGTGCAGGCCTCCATTCTTACCAGGGAAAATGCTGTCTGTTCTTGGTGGAAAAAACACACCTGGCTATTTTAGGCCCTTGGGATGCCAAAGGAAGAGTGCAATAGCAGAGAGCTTCTGCTACTCATGAGTTGCCAATTTAAGTAAGTGATTGCAAATAAAAACTTCTATATTTTCTCCTCTCCATCCCCAAACTTGCTCAGTCTTTTAGTCTGATACTTTGTTTTCCTCTTCTTTCAGCTGAAAGCATTAATTTCCCAGAAGAATTGCATAGCCTGCTAGTTTTAGCTCACCCTTTCCTACTGGCATCTGTTTGCACCTTAGCTGCTCACAGCCATCAGTAAAATCATTGTATACTTGAAATGCTCTAATAAATGTCGCCTGGATAATCCACTGTGCAGCTTCTATATCCTCTGGTCTTTGAAGTTTTGTAAAATGGTGGGAGTGTGGGATTCCTTTAAGAGTTTGATTTTGGGTGAATGTCTAAGCCAATGGCTATTTGGGATTCTCAGGTCTCTTGTGCTGCAGAATTGAGTCCTGCCCTTCTAGAAGGGGCCAGAAGCATTTGTAGTGGAAGTAATAGCTAATGCTTAGATCCATGCTTTGACGGGTGACAGGTGATTAAGCAGGTTAAGCCAAGTGTTGCCTCTATGTAAGCTGGTCTGCTCCTTCAGCAGCTGTCCCTGCCCCATTACACACAATTATGGCAGAGCCACTGCTGCGTTCCAGAGCATCCGAGTCCATTCCAGAGCAGGACTTCAAGCACTGCTGTAAAATGTGCAGAGCTGGAGAGTTGTTTACCTGCCCCTTTGCTTTATTCCTTGCTTGCCTGCAGTCCTGCCAGCTGAGTTTCTTGGTCTTTGCAGTTCTCTGCAGTTCTCTACGTTTCTAGTGGCTGGAAGCTGAGGCAGAACCTGAGTTGAAGAGGATCATCTGTTGAGGAGGATCACAACCATGCGGAAGAGACATTGGTCTTTGGATTTCCTCAAGGCTCCTGGTAAACAAGTTAGTGTGTGCAGTTGCTCAGCCGCAAGCTTTTAATCTCTTGAGTTTTCTGGTTTAAGGGGCGCCTCAGTGGCTAGAAGCAGGTATCCCCAGTCCTCATCACGAAGAGAAAAGCTATGGTGTCTGCCCCTGAAGAGATGAGGTTAATTTTAAGAAGCTCAAGTGGGTGTGGCAGCCTGTAGAATGGAGCTGAGCATCTTGCAATGATGAGCACTGTAAAACCAAGGGTTTTTTGCAGAGACTTGAGAGATGGACACAGGGATGGTCTAGCAGGGAGCATGAAGTTGAGTGCTAGGAGGACAGAAGAGCAGCAGCTGACAGGGGTAGGGGCTGCACTGGAGTAATGGGCTTGGGCTGCACCTCTGTCCTCAGCAGTTTTGGTATTGGCACAATAAGCATGCTTGCTCTGCAGTCTCCTCTCCTTGAAGGGCAGGGGACTAAACCAATGGCTGGTGGGGGTCTGTGCTACCATGGAGCAGCAACTCAGGTAGAAAAAGTTCTTTCCTGTGCTGCAGAGCTGAGCTGTGGGAGTCACAGCTGTCAGGATATGGTTCCACCAGGAGGCTGCATCCTTATGGGGTCTACATGACGGTGCAGAGAAGAGGCTGTACTGCCTGCAGGCTCTGTGAAGCTCACTGCTAGCTGCAGACCTGGAGGAATATCACTTTGGCTTTCAGCAAAAAGCAGCCAGTCCCTGGCAGGAAGGAGAATGAAGAGATTCCCTGGCCTAAACTCACTGTGAAGAGAGGAGCCAAGCGTGTTCTGGTGTGGAACTGGCAGAGACGTTTCTTGTGGTCTTTCTTGGGCTTCAAGGTAATATCTGTTAAAACTTTAATGCAAGTTATTTTTGGTGTTAAAGGGAAAAACAGTGTGGGTGCAAAGATGTGCTAACAGATGTTGGGAGGCGGCTGTGTGGGTGGGCATCTTGTGTCTTGGCAACATCAGTTGTCAGACCCCAGCTAAAAGAGCTGCTGCCCGCTGCAGGGTAGCTCGCTCTGCAGGGGGGGATGGCTGAGCAGCATGATGTAAATTTGTTAACTGTGGTTTTGGTCCAGCAAGGGAATGTTGCTGATGTCACTTGTCTTTAACCGTGCTTGGGATGTCCATAAAGCGAGTGGTGCTTGTTGGGGCTGGGAGCACGCCACTGAGGAGCCTCTGACCCCTCCATGGAGGTGTCATCATCTCTGCATTCCCCCAGCTTGATTTCCAAGCTTGCAAAGGCTGTGCTCACCGTTGCTGGGATTCAGCTGCCTGCAGGTAGCAGGGCTGATTGGTTTTGGTTTGTCAGAAACATAAGAGTAGTAGAGGCTGGGTTGGTCCAGTGCAAGCAGGGTCTCAAAAACCCAAGAAGCAGGAAGTAGAACTTTTGTCTTCAAGCACTGTTAAGTCACACATATATCTGACAACTGGGGATAGTGTTTGCTGAGACCTTCTGGGACAGTAGTGTTCCTGCCCACACTTCTTAGGGTGTTTCATTTCAAGGATGTCTGTTAATACTCTGCCAGGCAAATGAGTGGAGGAGAAGGCAATGTGCGCAAAGCTCCTGGCCTTGGAGGAGCTGTTTTGGTGGGGAAGGGATCACCTCCAGCTGCTGGGGATGGGAAGGCTGGAGAGAAGTCTGAAAAAGGAACAGTCTGAGACCGGCTTGCAGAAGCCAAACTATCCTCCCACAAGTATTTAGTTAATAACTGGCAGTGCCCATTATGCCTAGGCTCCTGGAGGGCACTAGCAAAACCTTGCCACTGCCACAGCAAAAGAAGGTTTACATCTCCCTGTGTAAAGGAGCGTTGAGTGAGCTAGTGGAGCTGTTCACGCAGGAAAGAGCAGGGGGCATTAGCTGGCTTGTTGGAGGATGAGAAAGTAGGACACATCCCTCCCAGGTGACTTCCCCAGGGCCAAACAGCCCAGCGCTCAACACGCTACATCTCCCAAAACAACAGATGTCCAGGATAGATCAGGGCAGAGGATGGATTTTTCAGATCTGGCAGCTGAACAGCCAAGTGCGTGTGCCAGGCTGAGAGGGAGAGGCTGGTGTCGTTGAGGGGGGAAGTAATTTGCACAAACCTGAAGCATTTTGTTCCACCCAGAATGAAACAGCCTCTTCCATCTTCCAGTTGTTTCACTGCTGTATTTTAGGTCAACCTCTGAAAGAAGTGTAGGGGGCAAAAATGAAATGTTTCAGCCAGTTTGATTTCAGAAATGTCTATGCAAGCCAGGCCTCCCCTGCTGTATGTGTTTCAATCAAAACTCTGCCAAATGGGAGCTGTTGGTAACGATAGCTCAGCTTTGCCCCAGGCACGGCTGGTTCCATGGCCCCAGTTTGGGCTCTGCCTGCACCCACCTGGCTCCACGCTGGCCGGCTGTGCTACCTGGCAGCCTCAGCCTGTCCTGACACACATGCCAGTGCTGCTACAGCCAGGAGCAGTGAGAGCTGCTGGTGCCAGGGCTGAGCCTGGCCAGCTCCACCTGCAACAGCAACCCAAACCTGTTGTGCTGTAGGGAGGACCACAATCCTCAGGTCTGATCTCCAGCCAACCATACACGAGAGGTCCACGTTGGAAGCCCAAGCCCGCTGTGAGAGAGCACACATGGGGCTGCTCTGTAGCAATGTCACGGTGTATCTTGCTGATGGTGTCCCATTGGGTGCTGGACCACCCTTGCCACTGTGGTAATGGGTGACATAGCAGGCATGTGAGCCTCCCTGCTAGAGGTTGGCTTGAATAAGCAATGACAGAGAATATGTGCACATCCCTTGGAAAACTCTTCTAGCCTCTTGGAGACTGGACTAAAATAATCGATCCCGCTACCCTGGAGGCTTGGCCCGGAAAGCACATGCCGCTGGGCCTGAGGGAGGCCAGGGCTGATCCCTCCTCCCGTCCCTTCAACTGGCTGTGACCCAGCGTGTGGAGCAGGGGACAAGGGCGAGCGCAGACCTGCAGAGCTTCACCCGGCTGGAGCCCAGATGAGACCGGCCCTTCT